GGGGTGCAGCAGGGGGCTCAAGGCAGGGGGTTGAGGGCTCAGGGCAGGCGGTTGGGGTGCAGAAGGGGGCTCAGGGCACAAGGTTGGGATACAGGGTGCAGGAGGGATTCGGGGTACAGGCTCCAGCCTGGCGCTGCTTACCTTGAGCGGCTCCAGGGTGGCAGCGGGGCTAAGGCAGGCCCCCTGCCTGCCCTGGCCCATGCTGCTCCCGGAAGTGGCCAGCACCACGTCCCTGCGGCCCGGGGGGGGGGACAGACAGAGGGCTCTGCGCGCTGCCCTTGCCCACAGGTACCTTCCCTGTTCCCGGCCAATAGGAGCTGTGGGGGGCAATTCTGCGGGCTGGATTCAAAGCCCTGACTGGCTGGATCCGGCCCACGGGCCGTAGTTTGCCCACCCCTGCCCTGGAGGGAGGTGTTTTGTTCAGTGGTACCAACATCCCACGGCAATGGAAGGCCAGTCAGCCTCACCTCAGTTCCTGGAAAAATCATGGAGCAGGTCCTCAAGGAATCAATTCTGAAACACTTCAAGGAGAGGAAAGTGATCAGGAACAGTCAGCATGGATTCACCACGGGCAAGTCATGCCCGACTAACCTAACTGCCTTCTATGATGAGATAACTGGGTCTGTGGATGAGGGGAAAGCAGTGGATGTGTTATTCCTTCACTTTAGCAAAGCTTTTGAAACAGTCTCCCACAAAAAGAACAGGAGTACTTGTGGCACCTTAGAGACTAACATTTATTTGAGCATAGTATTCTTTGAAAGCAAGTTAAAGAAGTATGGGCTGGATGAATGGACTATATGCTGGATAGAAAGCTGGATAGATCATCAGGCTCAACGTGTAGTGATCAATGGCTCCATGTCTAGTTGGCAGCCGGTATCAAGCAAAGTGCCCAAAGGGTCGGTCCTGGGGCCGGTTTTGTTCAATATCTTCATTAATGATCTGGAGGATGGTGTGGACTGCACTCTCAGCAAGCTTGCAGATGACACTAAGTTGGGAGGAGTGGTAGATACGCTGGAGGGTAGGGATAGGATACAGAGGGACCTAGAGAAATTAGAGGATTGGGCCAAAAGAAACCTGATGAGGTTCAACAAGGACAAGTGCAGAGTTCTGCACTTAGGACGGAAGAATCCCATGCACTGCTACAGACTAGGGACCGAATGGCTAGGAAGCAGTTCTGCAGAAAAGGACCTAGGGGTTACAGTGGACGAGAAGCTGGATGAGTCAACAGTGTGCCCTTGTTGCCAAGAAGGCTAACGGCATTTTGGGCTGTATAAGTAGGGGCATTGCCAGCAGATTGAGGGATGTGATCACTCCCCTCTATTCAGCATTGGTAAGGCCTCATCTGGAGTACTGTGTCCAGTTTTGGGCACCACACTGCAAGAAGGATGTGGAAAAATTGGAAAGAGTCCAGCGGAGGGTAACAAAAATGATTAGGGGGCTGGAGCACATGACTTATGAGGAGAGGCTGAGGGAACTGGGATTGTTTAGTCTGCAGAAGAGAAGAATGAGGGGGGATTTGATAGCTGCTTTCAACTACCTGAAAGGGGGTTCCAAAGAGGATGGATCTAGACTGTTCTCAGTGGTAGCAGATGACAGAACAAGGAGTAACGGTCTGAAGTTGCAGTGGGGGAGGTTTAGGTTGGATATTAGAAAAATCTTTTTCACTAGGAGGGTGGTGAAGCACTGGAATGGGTTCCTTAGGGAGGTGGTGGAATCTCCTTCCTTAGAGGTTTTTAAGGTCAGGCTTGATAAAGCCCTGGCTGGGATGATTTAGTTGGGAATTGGTCCTGCTTTGAGCAGGTGGTTGGACTAGATGACCTCCTGACGTCCCTTCCAACCCTGATAGTCTATGATTCTATGACTTGTTAACTATGGTTCTTAAGTGCTAGGTACGCTCGGCCAAGAGCTTATCGTCTGCTTCCAGCCAGACATTTGGTTTTACCATCATTGATCTAAAAGCCTTTTTCTTGCCCCTTCTGTGAAGTCTCCAGTCCCCTTTGTGCCACTTCACCTGTCCTCATGCGACAGCCAGGGCATCCGCATCGCCAGAGAGTCGGTGCAGACCATTGAGTCACCCACCCGTTCTCGAATCGTACATTTCCCGTGGCAATGTTCGAATCCCAGGGATCACGTCTCTCCCTGCCTTAACCCAGCACTGATGTCACTGGGGATGGTATTGAACCCGCTGATGAATGGGATTACAAACAGCTGCGCTGCAACCCACCGGCCATCCCAGGATACGCTACTATGAGCCCCCTTCTCCCCCCAGGACTATTCCCACCTTAAAATATCTTCCCTGCACTGCCTTTCCAGCTCCAGTCCGGCTTCCTGCAGCCTGCTCCTAAGCCCTCATCAGGCCAAGTCCACACTGTCATGCCTCAGAGGCCTCGCACGCCCCATCTCTCCCTCTGCAGCAGCGCCGCAAACTCCCCACCAGTTCCATGCTGCTGTACGTCACATGCTGCACATGCCCCATCTCTCCCTCTCCACTGTCGCCACAAACTCCCCACCAGCTCCATGCTGCTGTACGTCACATGCTGCACATGCCCCATCTCTCCCTCTCCACTGTCACCACAAACTCCCCACCAGCTCCACGCCGTCATGCCCCACATGCTGCGCACGCCCCATCTCTCCCTCTGCACCAGCACTGGAAACTCTCACAAATCAATCAGTTTTGGCCCCTCTCTAGGTCGTCTCGCCATGGCTCAGAAGGTTCCAGCCTTCACACAATGCTGGGGAAGCAAATCCAAGACACCGTTGTGATGTTTGGTACCTCGTGGGAACACCCAACACCCCCATGTTCATCCTTATAAAGTGATTGTGTGGTGTCCAATGCAAAGTTTGTCATGTCGGGTGTCTTCGGAAGGCTCATGATATACTGAGCATGGTTGTTATAGAGATGTTATAGTAATTGTTACAGTAATGTTATGGGTCATAATTTCATGTTTATAGTTATGAGGCTGAAAATGTGTCCTCATGGCTTAAAATAAGCCCAGGCAAAAACTCTCCAGGAGCAGGGCAGTTCACACCTCATCAGGGCATGTCTGGGACAAACCCAGCCCAGCCTCACAGGAACAAAGCACACTGGCCTAGGCAGCAACAAAGGATCTGTTGGACTCTCAAGTGAGTCACCCCCTTCCCTTGGTCAGTCAGGGACTGCGATGAGGTAATGGTCACCTGACTCTGAAGGGGGGGAGGGGCAAAGCCAAGAGGGAAGAAAGAACATGATAAAAGGGAGAGATGTTTGCCATGCTCCTCCTCTCTCTTCCACCTCCATCTACAGACATCACCACCAAGTGACTGAAGCGCTGATCAAAGGGGAGAGCCTGGCTGAAGGGCAACCAGACAGCCTGTGGTGAGAAGCATCTACGTTTGTAAGGGCACTGAAAGTGTTAAGAGCAGCTTAGAATGGGTTTTGCTTTTATTTCATTTGACCAAATCTGACTGGTTATGCTTTGACTTATAATTACTTAAAATCTACCTTTGTGGTTAATAAATCTGTTGGTTTGTTCTACCTGAAGCAGCGTGTTTGGTTTGAAGCGTGTCAGAGACTCCCCTTGGGATAACAAGCCTGGTACATACCAATTTCTTTGTTAAATTGACGAACTCATACAAGCTTGCAGCATCCAGCAGGCATAACTGGACACTGCAGGACGGAGGTTCCTAGGGGCTTGTGCGAATACTTGTTTTACTGACGCACTATTATTAGATGTGGTTAACGGGAGCTACCCCTTTAAGAACAGGGTGGGGCAGACAGCGTTTGAGACACAGACATTGGGTGCAGAAAGAGAACACACTGCCTGGACAAGCTTCAGACTGTAACACTTTTCCTTCCCCAAAAACAGCCGCATTCCCCCAGGTGTGACATTCGCACGGCTAGGGCCTGGCTGCCTTGGGCTTTGCTCATGAGCTGCAGAGACTCCCAGCTGGAGCCCACCAGCCTGAATCCAGCCCAGCAGGAGTTCGCAGCGGTTCCCGTCTAAGGGGTGTCGGTGGAAATGAGCTGGATCCTGGCTCCCACGTGTCTCTCTCTCTCTCTCACACACACACACACACACACACACACACACACCTGTTCTTTGCACTGTGAACTCTCCAGGCAGGGACCGTATGCCTCTGTACAGTGCCTGGCACAAGGGGGCCCCGATCTCGGCCGGGTCCTCGAGTGAGACCTCCTGCAGCAAGGGCCAAAGCCGCCGCACCCTACAACTCTACCTGTTGCGCACATGCTGGGGGAGGAGGTCAGACAATTTAACCTTTTAAACAATTTCACGATCTCAGGGCTGGCCGCATGGCCGTTCGGTCGCACAGCTGCTGCCACCAGCACGGATGTGCAGCTGTTGGCTCACGCTGATCCTGTCCCTGCTGGCAGTAGCATCACCCACAGACATTACCACCAGGCCATTTATCCCCCTCCCGCAGTTCAGTAGGGAGGACATTAGACAGCCCCCTGTGGCCCCCATTCAATTCTCTGCTGTTTCTCAGTGCCCTGCCTTCAGAGACCACCAGCCAGTTTACTGCTCTGTCCTGGGAGGGGCTGCAGACTGGGAAGTGGGTCGAAGCTGGACCTACCGCGAGGGGCTGCAGACTGGGCAGCTGGCATAGAAGTCGGTGAATCTCAGGCCCCTGGCCGCCATCTTGTCCAGGTTGGGCGTGGCTGAGGTGGGGTGCCCATAGCTTCCCAAATCTCCAAACCCCAGGTCATCCGCAAAGATTAGCAGGACGTTGGGAGGGTTTGTGGATGCAGAGAGCAAGACCAGCGGGCCCAGGGGACCGAGGAGCCAGATACACGCCCACCTCATGTCCCCAGAGGCCCCCCGAGCAAGGACAGGACTCTGTCTCAGCAGGCCCTCCAGATATCCCCAGCTGCCCACTGCCCGGGCAGGGCCGCTCCACCCACGACCTGCCAGAGAGAAAACAGTTTAGCACACAGTACAGTCTGCACTACAGCGCTGGCTTAGGTTAGCTAACTGCTTCTAGCAGCAGGCCTTTCAATCCCAGTCCCGGCAACCCCAGGGTGTTCTGGGGGACACAGGGGCAAGGGCTCTCAGCCCCTTTTCTGCAGAGCAGGCAGCAGCAGAGCCAGGGCCCCTGCCCCACAGGCTGACAGGAAGGGCTAAGGAGACTCCCGGAGCAGGGTGTGAGATCCAGGGCAAAGCAGGCGGGGGAATCTGGCCTGTGCACTGAAGCTCCATGTTCGCTGCAGGAAGAGGGCGGTTTGAATCAGTCTCACTCCTTCCACGGGAGCTTCAGTGTGCAGGCCGGATCCCCCCGCGCCTTTCCCTGGATCTCGCTCTGCTCCTCCCTCCCCTCCCGGCAGCCGGCAGAACGGCCCCTCCGAGCCAGGCTGCGGGGCAGGGGCCGGGTGCTGCTGCCGCCTGCTCTGCGGAATAAGGGGGTGGGGAGCCCTGGCTCCTGGGCTCGAGGCTGGGGCCACAAAGCCCTGGACCGGTGAGAGTCACACCGGAGGCACCGGGCAGGGGGCAGCCAGGCAGGGCAGCCACGGGGCAGCGGGCAGCCAGGGGGCAGGTCTGGGGCGGGGCGGGCAGGCGCGGGGCAGGGGGCAGCCGGGCAGGGCAGCCACGGGGCGCAGCCGGGCAGGGGGCTCCGACTCGGGGCGCCCTGCCCCGCCGCGGGAGGAGCGGAGAGCGGGACCGACCGACCCCAGGGGCTTCACCTGCGGCTCGGCAGCCGGGGCCGCGCTCCGAGGGGCGGGGCCGGGCAGAGGAGCCGGTCGGAGCTCCCGACCGGGCTGGACCGGGCCGCCCTTACCGGACCGGGCTCCTCGCAGACTCTCCGCAGCCGAACACGCTTCTCCTCGCCCAGCCGCAAGTCACGTGAGCCGCGCTCAGCTGGGCCGGTCACGTGTGCCCGAGGCATTCTGGGAGCTGTAGTCCCTAGGGCCAGGCTCCCTTAAAGGGGCCGCGCGCGCGAGGGGCGGGTGAGCGCCGGCCCGGGGGCGGGGGTCCCCGGGCTCGGGGGGGCCATGCCCTGGGCTGGGGCACGGAGCCTGGGGGCATCACCCCGCCAAGGAGGCTCACACATCACTGTCCTCATGAAACACACGTGTGCATTGCAACATGCGACTGGCAGACACGGCCTCGCCCGGGCAGCCGGCTGCAGCTTGGCTGTTTGCCACCGTGTGCAGCATCCGGGCTCCGGGGCCCGTGACCCCTGCGCAGAGCGTCCTGTCCAGCACTGGCCAGCGGCACAGCGGCGAGATTTCCCTGGGGGCTGGGCCCTGGATTCGCCACCCAGGCCCCAGCCTGCGGTGACTGCAAAGCGCTGAACAGTGCAGCACTCCAGCTGCCCCGCGCAGACCCTGCCAGCACGCCGGGTACCTGCCAGAGCTGCCAATGCCAGCACACCAGAGCTGCCAACAGGGCCTGCACAGGGCACTGTGAGCCCAACGCCCTGCAGCTTCCAGGCACTTGGCTCCTAGAGCCCAGGTAGGGCCGGACGCAAGGAAGAGGGGGCTGTTGTAATCACTAGGCCTGTAACGTGATCCTAAGTGTGATCTGAACTGTGAAAAGGAAGTGAAAGTTCAGACAGCGTCACAATAACCTTGAGCGACACAGGGAGACAGAAAGGTGGAAGTAGACCAAACGAAAAGGGTGACTGATATAACTCCAGGACTTTGTTAAGATCATGCCTGGTAAACAAGAGACGTGTGGGAGCAGAAATCAGTGAACCAGAATTGGTGTGTCAGATATTGGTCCTAACTGGTGGACAACATCATGAGGGGATGGGCTGTTTGGCCTGTCACTCCCTTTTGGGGTCCTCAGAAAGAGCCTCGGGGGGGAAAGCTGGCTACTGCAATGCTGGCTGACTGAAAGACAAACGAAGGAGCAGAAGGGAGCTTCACCATCATGGCTGCAACCCCGACCTTCTCCTGGGACCCTGGGTTCTACTGTGACAACACAGTCCTTTCTTCGTCCTGATCCTGAGAGGTGACCTGACAGGCCAGGTCAGAGACAGGGATCTCAATGACATCTTGTGACAGAGGGGGAATTCTCTGTAATATTTTGTATGAATACTGTGCGTGCCTCAGTTTCCCCTATGTGCTGCATGGTTCACTGGGGGTGGGGGAGGGGAAGGTTGCAGAGTTCCAGGTGTGACTGATACCTGGCCATCCGGGGCCTGGGGCCCATGTCCATGGACAGTCCGAGAGGACAATGGCCACTCCAATTGCCTGGACATTTAGTACCTAGCAACTAATGACCTGGAGGGCCACCCCCCTCTGCAGGAAGCCAGCTGTGTTTGCCCAGGAACAAGAACAAGGACTGAGGAGAGGCCCGCTGGGGGTTGTTAAGTTTGGGCTACTGGAAGCTGGAGGCTCCTGAACCGGGACAGAAGAGGGGTCAGAGGCCTCTGGGCTGCCCAAGATGGACCAGGCTGTAACTTTCTGTTCTCTGAGCTAACCAAGGACTGTCTACGCCATGTTCCAGACGTCTAATAAACCCGACTGCTTTTAGCACGCTGGCTGAGAGTCACGGCAGGTGCTGGAGGTGGGTGCATGGCTCCCTTTGGGTGTACGAGTCTCTCTCCGGTCCCAGCTCAGGAGGACTTGCTGCAGGGAGCTCACAACATGAAGCAGGGGTGCTGAAGGCTCCAAGGGTTGGCCCAAAGAGGCGGTGAAGCCAAGTGGCTTGCCCTAGCGACAGAGCGAGACCTAAGGGGGCTGGCGTACTGAAGGGGTCTCCCAGGGACTGTTCCAGAGCACTGGGCCTGTGGCTCCATGACACACCTCCACCAGCTCTGGTTAAATCCCAGTCATCACCTGGGATATGACACTTTGTCCTCCCTCCCATGTGTCCTTTTCTTTCCCATCTCTCTCCTTTTTCCTTCTGTCTAATCAGAGTCTGGCTCAGCCAGCCAGGACTATCTATTGTGCAACACTGTGACCGGAAAAGCAGTTAAAAGCAATGCCCCAAACAGCCCGATGCTTGTACAAGTTTGCCAGGTCTCAGACTGGCTGATAAAACCATGTGCTGGCCTGTGTTTAGCGGTGAGCTTACAAATGAGAGTCAAAGCTAAAGGCAGAAGCCGCATTTCCAGTCTTTGCTGCTTCCCCCTTGTCTGTGCCTTGTTTGTCTTCAGGAAATGAGATCGGATTTTAACAACAGCCCCAGCCCATCTCACTTCTTCTCTTCTCCCCAGGCGGCCAGTGCTTATCGTGGCAGAGACTGTCAGACGCAAGGGGTTCCTGGAAAGACTCTCTCCAGTGAATGGTAAAGGGAACAGGAAAGATTGTTAAAATAAAACCCTCACTTGTGTGCGCCCAGTTGCCCAAGTGACCCAGATCGCGGTCGATGACCTGTCCTCTCCATCATTCACTACCCGCCGAGCCTTTGGCTCAGTTGCAAACTTTATCAGTGATGATTTTATGTTTTCTTCCAGGTCTCTGGGAATACAGGGCAACTCCAGTCGTGTGGCAGGTTTCACTTCACTTTCATGTAACACTATAAGCAGCTGCTTCTCCAGGGATGTTCAGCCAAGTCTCCGGAGCGAGCATGTGGGTTAAATGTTCTCTGCCTGGTGCCACAGGCTTTGCGCTAATTCCCGGCTGGATTCATTCCCAGTGAGGCACCTGCTCCCCCAAGCTAAGGGCACCTGCCAGGGAGCTGGGGGGGGCGGGGGGGGAGGAGAGAGAGACAAGGCAGAGAGTTGTCATTCCAGCACTGCAGACAGAGCAGCCACAACCCCGGCACGCCTAGCTGGATGGTCTGGGGAAGCGTCAGGCTGGTTTCGATCCCTCACCTCCGGCCAGGGGGGGCTGCTTATGCCGGCTTAGCTTGCTCTGCTACTCATGGCTGGTGCTACTCAGAGTCAGTGGATCTGAAACTAGCCAAGCTGCACGCTGGGTCTCTTGCTCTTTACACAGCAAATACAAGTGGAAGAAACCACACGGGCACAGTGGGCTCAAATCACCCTGTCTGCCTAACCATGGACACCATGCGAGCCTAGCTACACCCCGCCCTGCCTCCCTGCAGGGGCTGCGGGGGTTGGAATAGAGAAGACAGAGAGCACCACTAGAGTGCTCACAAACTACTTCAAGGGATACTGGCCAATTCTTATAGACTACGGAGAGAGACTGGACTGGGAGCAAGGGGACCTGTTGGGGGAGTTCAGATCTGACACCCCAAGGGCTGGTCAGAATCCAGGGGGTCCAGCACCCGCCCCCCACCCCCAGGCTGGCCCTAGCTATGGGAACGTTCCTCAGAGTCCCCACACAAAGGTCCCTGTGAGCCGTGACCAGAACCCCTGCCCTTCTCAGAAAGCACCCTCCAGGTGCTTCTTCTCTTCTCCAAACCACCCCAGCAACAGCTGGTCCAACTTTGTTCTCTCGCTTTTTTCTACAAAAAGTGGCTCTTTGAGTCAATAGAACATTTCTTGCACAAATGTCCTTTAATTTGGGGATGGGGGTGTGTGATAAATTGGGGGGGGGAGCTCCCTTTTATGGACACCCAGCCAGCCAGTTAGCTATAAAATCCCTCGTAGTAGCTGTTCTCTACTTGTTCTACCTGTAAAGGGTTAAAAAGTCTCACTGCTTTGCATAGGTAAAAGGAAGTGAGTGGGCACCTGGCCAAAGAGCCAATGGGAAGGCTAGAACTTTTTAAAATTGAAACAAGACTCCCCTTTTGTCTGGCTGTGGTTGTTCTACTGGAGAGGAGACACAGGGCTTGTCTACACTACCTGTCAGATTGGTGGGCAGCAATCGATCCAGCGGGGGTCGATTTATCGCATCTAGTATAGACACGATAAATCGACCGCTGAGCACTCTCCCATTGACTCCGGTACTCCACCTGAACGAGAAGCGCAAGTGGAGTCGACGGTAGAGCGTCAGCTGTCGACTTACCACAGTGAAGACACCGCGGTAAGTAGGTCTAAGTACGTCAACTTCAGCTACTCTATTCATGTAGCTAAAGTTGCGTATCTTAGATCAACCCCGCGCGGTAGTGTAGACAAGCCCACAGAGCAGCAATGCTGTAAGAAGCTTGTGCCAGGTATGAAAAATCATTAAATCATACCTAGAAACTACTCATTTGAAACCCCAGATATGTAAGTAGATCAGGAAATGTCTAGGAAGACACGATTAGGTTTCTCTCTTATTTCTTTATGGCTTGCGGACTCCTCTGTGCTAAACCCAGGTGCTTTTGTTTTGCTTGTAAGCCTAAATTCCAAATGTATTTTCTTTCTTTTTGTTTTTATAAAATTTACCTTTTTAATGAACAGGATTGGATTTGTGTGTCCCTAAGAGGTTTGTGCATATGTTGTTTAATTAGCTGGTGGTAACAGCTGATTTCCTTTGTTTTCTTTCTCAGCTCTTTCCTGGGGGGAGGGAGGGGTGAAAGGGCTTGAGGGTACCCCACAGGAAGGAATTCCCAAGTACGCCTTTCTGGGTTCTCAAAAGGGGTTTTTTGCACTTGGGTGGTGGCAGCATCTACCCATCCAAGGTCAGAGAGAAGCTGCAACCTTGGGAGTTTAATACAAGCTTGGAGTGGCCAGTATTAATTTTTAGAATCCTTGCGGACCCCCGACTTCTGCACTCAAAGTGCCAGAGTGGGGAATCAGCCTTGACCGTGAGGTCGGGGGGTAATCAAAACATGAAAAATCCCCTTAAACATTTTGCCGGGGGGAGGGGGGGGGACAACTTGCTTTTCCACCTACATTTTTTCACAGAAAATCAAATCCATCCCCCGACCAGCCCCATTCCCATCGGGCTCCACTAGGACGGCCACCTCAGAGAGGCAGAAAACCTGGCCACTGGCCACCTCCCCGCCCCAACAAAAGCCAGCCACTGGCTACCCCCCAA